CTATTATATGGTCAGCTGAGTAATGGGAAGCGGCATTTGGGTAAACCGATGTTACGTTACCAGAACATGATTAAAGTGAGCCTATCACGTTCTAATCTTGCTAGCAGGTCATGGGAATCGAAGGCGATTGATCAGCGAGCATGGCGCGATCTGCTCACGAAGGTAGTTGCCGAAGTGCGGGAGAAAGACTTCATACATGCAGGGAAGAAGCGGCAAGTGCGGAAGCAGCAAGCACCGATGGGTTAAACTCTATCGACTTCGAGCGCATGGTGCTGTAGCACATGCGGTCGCGAGTGCCTGAGTCAGGCAGGCCTAGTGAGCCGTGAGCGAGACCACTCGGGACCACCACCGAAGCGACGACGCGTCCTGCAAGAATGTAGGCAGAACCGGCGCAGCCTTTTTAGGCAAGGTGCATTCGATTTACTAACCACGTGTTTGCATGCTAAGTCCCTTTATTTCACGTGGTGGGTTTTCAATTTTGTCCTAATCCTTTCTCAAACAAATGTCAACCTGTACTTTCTCCTATAAAGTTGCACACATCGCTTAAGCCAGTTGTAGTTAATTTCGATAACATTTCCGCGTTTGTGGCATTTCCATGAAATATATTTTCTGACCTCTTAAACTTATCACGGATTCATACGTAACCAACTTGGTTTATACGTCTAGTTATCGAAGAGTTATGCCGCCGTAGCTGTATGTCTTATCCCACTTAGTTTCTTTCATCTTGTCGTTTCGAGGGATTGGCTGTTGCTTGATATCCCCGGTGTGGCTGCGCTTGATGTGCATGTTGACAAGTTGCCTACCTGTCTATTACCCACTACCTCGTTCATACTGGCTCTGAGAGACAGTTGGTATTTGCAGGGGTGAGGGGAGGTGCACGGTCCTTGTGGCCGTTCTCGGCTCGAAGGGTGGTTCCATGCACTGAGTGTGGAGCGGCCTACGGTCCAGCCACCGCCTTGTATGTGCTTGATTCCCCAAATGCAGCGTGCTTGTGATTGTCTGTGAAGGAGTGTGGGCCGGTTGCGTCGATGAAACTTGGCGTCCATCCACATGCCTTCCGGTCTTATTCCTTCGGGCTTATACTGGATATGGTTTGTGTGGATGGAGCTGTGGGTGGTGCAGCGCAAGCCACCCATGGTCCCTCTGTAGGGGTAGGCGTCCTGGGGCTGGCCACAATGACCAGCAAATCCGAAACCGGATGCCGCCAACTATTATCAGATCAAATAATCCGTCTGTGTTTCGCAATGTTGAGAAATACACCATTTAGTTAACTAGTTATTTACTTTTGCCTTCACAAGGCGAGCTCAGATGGAGTTGTTGAACCGCTGGATGGGTATAATGCAATTAATTGTTCGTCACAGTAATGCACACGCTTTCATTATCGTCATCCATTCGCGTTCGAACAGCGAACAACGATTTCGTGCAAGTTAAGAAATATTGCTTTGAAAGCACAGTGGTTTGCCTGGTAGCGTTATCAAAGATTTAATCAAACGGAACAGTGACTACTTTCGCTAACGAAAGCCGGGCTATCCTCATAGTTTCACAGCCCAAGTAACTGGCTTTTAGTAAGTACAAAACCTTCCGCACAAGTGGGATAGAGCGATATTACTTAGTGACAAAATGTATCTATGTGGTCCACTTAAATTGGCTATTGTCAGGACGAAAAGGACTGATTCTGAGAGTATTTTCCGGGGAACACACGCCAAGTGAAAGGAAAGTTTTGCCGCATTCTAAGCGGCCGTGTTGTTTTGTTAATTTCTAAGCGTAACCTCTTGGGTTGGTCTTACTACAAAGCAGCACAAAAGACCTACACACAAGTTTCAGCTCTTGTAAGGGAAGGTGGGCCATTAGTACGTCCCCGCGTAATCGGCACTCCCGTCCACTGAATACTCTCAGGCAGTTTAATCTGTTTGTCTGAAAAATTACACATTGCAAAGATGTACTTGGATACCTCTCTCTAAGGCCGTTCCTTACCAATGACATCGGGCTCTAGTCATAGCAGTCAGGCTTGAATTTCGTAGTTAACGTGAGAAGCAATATAAGCAGAAAATAATCACGCTTATGTGTCCGAACACCCAATGGTTGATTACCAGAATTTGACTCATTTTCAGATTGTTTGAAACAATCTAGGTCATGTTGAAACAGCACGCCAAAGTCGCTTTCGGCGGAAGCTCGCTGAAGTACGCGCCTTCCGAGCCTATGGAAGTGTTGTGTAGAGAGCATCTTACATCTAGTTAGGTTGAACTGCAATATATTTCAGGTTGGCCACTAATGTATCTTATGTAGGTCGCCCTGGGGTAAATGCTGATTAGCATTCAACTGAATCCTGCATCACATATCGATCCCACCAACAAAACAAGAACTTTGAATCTGTAAGCTGTGCGACATGATAAATGAAAAGCAAAAGCAAACGGCCCCAGCATTAAACCGTGATGCACACAGTACTCAAATATCTTGGGGCAGGATAGATAGTTCCGAACTCTGACCACTAATTACCCTCTAGAGGGTAAAGTTGGCGATCCAGCTCAAGGGAGGTTCACAGAATCCGTGAACTTGCTCTTGAAAAAGTGAAGCTGATGACGTAAACAATGAATGACTTCGAAAAATCCGAGATCCCAATAACATCTCTTTAGCGTAGGCCCAATCGGTCCGGCTACTCCGTCTTATCAGTAACAGTGGTGCATGATCGTTGCCGACAAAAGCCGTGCTTCTCGGGAGCAATACGTGCCAGCTTTCCAGCTAGGTAAGCGTGTCTACAACCATGGTGGGCGCGACGGGTGTTGTTGAAGTTGACTCCTTCTACTCCTATGTGCACGCTTAGATGTTACTTACTACATTAGTTTGTGCGGACACTCCCAGAATTTATCGTTATTGCTTCGGATGGTTACGTTGGAATACTACCCCAATAATTAATTGTTGTAAGCATCAAATAATCACCTTTGAAGTAATCTGATTGCGATACTCGGCAAAGTTCTCATTCTATCCAATAATTGACATGTTTGGAGGAATCCCACCAGCTGCGGTCAGCATATGTGACCTAAAGTAAGAAGAATGAGTTTTAGTGAAATTATCTGATCAGCTTTGCATACTAAATGTGAATGTGTGCTCCGTGGCATACAATGGCTGGCTAACGATGGCTCTGGTCTTGGAAAAGCTTTGAATGAGGCCTGTTCAGTGATTTTTCTTGGGATACAAGTAACTCAAGCTTTCAACGCAAATGCGCTTGGGCCGACTGACACAGGGACTGAGGCTGAAAAGCTTCCAAATGTGATAATTTATTGGAAAAAAATTCAAAGTTCTTTATAAGTGAGCAAATTCAATTTGCCTAGTTGAGCCATCTCTTGAGTGGTCACATTCCCAAATAAACACTATTTCACAAACCGCACACACCACACAGGTTAATGTAGCGAAGTCTTCTGCGTTGCTGTTAAGTCGAGGTGTTTTACGGGGAACCATCATCTCACCCGCTCTATTTGCTCTATGCCTTGAAAAGCTTCCCATACCATCTACCTTTATTGAATGCAAGTACGCTGACGTTGTCGTATTGGGAAGCTTAACTCCAACCGTTGGGACATCCATTTTTCAAAATGGTCAACGAACTCGTGCTTTGGTCCTCGTGCCTATCCCTGATTTTGAAATGTTCTAAATGTCGTGATTTTTTATTCTCTTTTCTCCGAGCTGACAGCTTACAAGTTGTTATGGATGCCACTTCTCCATTGCCAGTGAGTGATCAGTTCATACCCAGATCGCCCAATCTTAAATTTCTAGGGGTAATTTTATCCCGAAAGTTACGTTGGTGTACTCACGTTGTCGAAACATTTGCTAAGGTTAGACGAGTGTCATTTTATTCTCTTCGATTTAAAGTATTTTCATTGACTCTACATTGACTCTACTATTCCCGTGTAATCTTACCTGGGTTACACAAAAACGACTATGCGTTGATTTTACGGTCCATAAAGCTTATTTCCAGATACTGCAGGTTGTCTAGAGAGTCTCTTGTGGATTTTCTCATTAGTAAGCACATAGCCGCTTGTAACGTTATTCCTCAACAATTCTAATTAACCCTCTTCATCCACCACCTTGTGGCTTATCAAGAAGGTCATCTATTACCTCTATCAGCTCCAAATGTAAGGTTTTATTTTCACTAATGCATCCTACCACAATTCTGTTCTATCGTACCTCTCCCGCTTGTGTGTGGACCCAAATAAAACTATCAGTATGATGTGAAATTATTTGCTCGAGTGATAAGTGTAGGCATTCTTACGTGTTTGATTTTTTATGTGACAGTAATTTCATATACATCACCATCCGCAGTGATAATGTAACATGCTGCAAATGCACTTACCCGGGTGCCTAAAGTCTACTTTTACTTGACTTGAATTTCCCAATTAGAAGCTTGTCACATAACATCAAACTAAGTATACTGCTCCCCAAAGTGAATTCCATATAGGCCCCATACATATTGCTAGTAACTTGTTCTTTCACTAACGGGTCGCTACAGTAACGTAGGAAATCGTATAAGGTAGCAATATGGTATATTCCAACAACTTCCCGATCATGAATCAGAGTGGTCAATTCCCAATGGCTCCTTTTAACTTAATTACCTAGTGACTGCATCTAAGGTTAACTTTTGGTCAGCAAGGCTAATGGATAAAAAATCTTTTTGATTTTGTGATGCCATTAGTATGTGCTTGAAGGTCAGGTTGCCTGTAGTAAGTTACCTTCTTTACTGACAATATGAAACAAAGCTGTTGGGTGGAGTGACAGATTCATGTAGGATGTTAATGCGAATATCACCATTATGTTTAGCCACCAGGCAAACATATTTAGCTTTTTGGTATTTTATTTTTATGGCAAAACTCTCCCCGTCGGTTCGAGTGCAGAGGTTATTCTGTAAGGCACACTATGGTTTTACACATTAATGGCCCTGCGTTCGGCTGATTGGACGAAATGTTGAACCAATCACAGTGGTATGTTAACCGAACAAAACCGGTCAATTCGAATACTGTTCACAGGTGCTGGCCATTAACCAAAGATGCATCTCAGATCGCAACTACTTTTCTGTATCGTCTACACTGTTCTTTTATCCCACGCCAAACCACATAAGGAGGTAAAAGAGCCCTTCTGTGTAGCATCTATGGTGTTCCACTTGATTGCTATTGCAGAGTCGAGATGAAAAAGAGCACTTCCCAGACGACCCCGAAAGACACGATGTCAACTTCGACCACAACGCCTTTCTTGGCGAAGAGACGGCCAAAGAATATGCTAAACTGACGAGGGAGCAGAGTCGCGAGAAGCTCAAGTACGCGCGTCTCTTTCAACGCGTGTATTGGTACAATTGCCTTTAGAGAGATTGTGAAGAAAATTGACACAAATCACGATGGTAAAGTGACTGAGAAGGAGTTGAAAGACTGGATAACTGATGTTGGAGAGCAAAGTAGAAAGCAAGTGACTGATAAGCGCTGGGTTGGTGTTAACCCTCGAGGACTTGACCCTCTACCCTGGAAAGAATACACAGAGGGCTCCTTCGGAAGTGAAGAAGGTAAGCCAAAATTATTAGCTCCAACTAAGTCGAGGTGAGTGTGCCAATGTTGTAGTAACCCAGATTTGATGCTTGCTTTTGAAGATCATTGGTAAAAATGACTATGACGGGGTCTCTCTAGACGAAGGCTGACACAATATGTAAATACAAATTTCTGCAAATTCAAAGGGTACATTAACAAGGGCCAATCGAAAGGTTGTTGGAAGTATATGAATGTTAGTAAATGACCGCGATGCAGCTCTCCACAGCTAGTTTCATACTCATTTGATTTTATCAGGTAGAGATGCTAGGATGGTGGGTCGCATCCTGGAACTCTGGGATATCAACCAGAGCTTCTGTTTTCAAAGCACCGAGTCACTGCAGGCAACGCTTGTCACAACAGTTACTGATTAGTTGGCGGTTATTCTGAGGTATTTATCCAAGTATTCCTTTTAACCTATACAGCCCGAGTTAAGAAATGAGATTTTGGGTGAGGAGCATTTTGGTATGCGTCACAGCTTCAATAATGTCATCGTTTAACGAGAAAGTAGACTACTCAAGAAATAGTCTGAACGTGTTTTCAAATCAAAAGTTAACTGGTCATCTTCATTATTGTAGGAGATGGACCAATTATGTTGAGCGCCAGTTGAAGACTGACAACTTTTGTTTGCAGTATTGCAAATCATGCAGTTTCCTCTACTGCTTGCAAAATTTTACTTACACAGCTGGAAATAAGCTGAGTTAAATATCCAAGTTGTGCAGTCAAGCACCCAGGTCGACAAGGCTACTAGGTCGATTAGGACTGGCGCGCCAAAAGTAACGCTCGTAGGTGCCACCGGTGATGTTCACCGGTAAGGCGCGGTGATGTTAGCCCATAGTCGCTTGACACCGGCCATACAAACTGTGTTTTGCATCTCATTTGCTTTGCAAGCCACCGGGTGATACACACCGGTCAGTTTTGAATGCCTGTTCATTGAGTGTACGGTCGTCAGAGGGGTCTAACAGTAGTTAAGAGATATGTGTAGTCATAGCAACCATCTGGATCGCTTTCGGTTGTCGTTTTTTTCGTACCTGCCTTTCAACACGCAGTGCTTTCCGCTGTTTGAGGCATTTAAGTGAGTGACAATTGCGCATTATTGGATTAATACACTGTCTGCGCATAAGTTAAAGGTGCCACAGTTTAAGGTGAAAGATAATCCAAACAATCTTTGGTATGAATACATAAAATGTACCGTGTAAAGACCGTGTATGAACCCTTTGTCTTACAAATGACAATATGCGTTTCATTAGGCGTTAACATGCTGGTATCACTGTACGGCCAACCTCATGACAACAACAGCTGACGAAGATGAAGTCATCCGAGTTGGTTTCATATATTCTCTGAATCGAAAGCGGCTTTCCATGATATTGTCAATGAACAATGAACAATGAACAATGATTTATCACGAGATAAAAGCAAGTGCTTGACATGTCCCGTAGGATGGTAGCGGTGAATATGATGCAATTAAAATATGTGTGGGTCATCTATCGAACGTCTGCCGATATGAATAGTTTGATAACCAACATCAGTGTAAAAGGAAAAAGAAATATCGCGCATAAACATTCAGAAAGACACTGGGGCGCTGTGATAGTTGAGGTAAGGAGTGCGAAAATAAAATATGGTCGCTCACTTAGGTCCATTTGATACATTAGTCCTGTTGAAAACATGCTTGGCGTAATCCACAACAGAGGAGCTTAGGTAACAAAATGTTGGGAGCTGAGGGCAACATCTAATCGTTTTTTGAAAACATCCAGGGTAGGAGAGGATACTACTGAGTCTGAGAAGTGCTTTCTGTCTATAAGTGTAATCTATCACCGTACAATATAATTGTTTCAGACATAAGTCCTAAGATTTAAAGGTGTATTGGGTTTTGCCGTTTGCATTCATTTTATACCTGAGAATATCGTAAGTGATGGAAGTGAGAAATCACAAGCAGCTGTTTTATATTCCGCCTACTAATTCTAGAGCTCGTATTCGCCCTCAGGAGACGTAACTACTCAGGTGTTATACTACGACAATCATCTGTCAGCAAGTGAAGCCTTAGTGGACAACTACCTTACACTAAACTGCTGTTTACATTTTGTTGCACACAAGCCCTGGTCCGAAAGCGGGCCCAACTTAGCCGCATATTCCTATCCACGCATAGAGCCTTAACACGCCATTAGAACGTAAACACCGTGGTCAGTTTAGCTTCATGAAAATTCTGCAGCTTGGACCTCCTCTTACGCATAGACCATACCAGTGAATCAAGTCTGTTCCACCGTACCAAATTCTGAGAAATTTTGTTGAACCGAGGTAACTCTATCTGAGTTAAATAGGCACCCCAAAACCACTGAAGGAAAGTTGTATCTCATGCTCGCACTTCTACGAATAGAACATTTTTCACCTTCCGTCCGGCTGGCAATACCCGGTAGCGTGTTTGCTGCCGATCTCTCCGACTCAATTGCAATCATCTCAGAGATTATTTTTAGGAAAATTGAGGGTGTCACCGAACCTACTAACTGCTTAGAACCGGTCTGTGGTGGGGGATATAAGAAAGCGGCATCCATAATTGCCACAATCCAATAGTCGATGTTTCCGGCACACATATGAAGGTGCGAATAAGTGTGGAGTCACCCACCGGCATGCAGTTATTTGGCACGGTATTCACCAGGATGTATCGATCGACTTGTTATCTCCCGCTTCACTCCACGGCTGTGCTGTGTGCATCGCGCGGCTACAGAAGTGCAATCGATCGAATTGCCTGCACCGGTGTGCACTGGGGGTTGTGACGCACTTTGCCGTCTACCCACATGCCCAATAGCTACTTTCACGCATGAATGACGAATAACACGAATGTGCCCAGTTTGTATCTATCACTAGCCCTAGGAGGAATGCTATACGGGCTGGAGGAAATGAGTCAACTGTTCCAAGAGCCCACATGTTCTGTTAGTGTTGTAAAGGGGAAACTAGGGTATGGGATGTGGCCTGGCGACGAAAGTTGTAGTTGGTGCAAACGAGATCCAGCGAACTTCCCCCAAGGCAAACAGAGTCTGGAACCGCTGCTTGATTGGCCTGACAGTTGCGTTCGACAGAAATCCGTTCGGTATGGTATCTCATGAACTACGTACTGTATCCTTACAGTGGAACAAGGGAAAATGGTATATTACGGATAAAAAGCAGTTACTTAACAAGTTCCGTAAGATGGCCAGAATGGGAAGCAAGTCGTGAATACAAAACAAAGTGATAAAAGGAAAATCGTTATGGTGGACTCACTAGGGTGTTCATACAAAGACATGCTGAAAAGAACCAACCTCGATTGTGCAAGTTACTTCTGGTAGTGTAATCGTCAGATTAGATAGTCAGTCGAGATACACAGGCTATATGCCGTAATGGAGGTGGATTACGGAAATGTCGAAGCGTTTTTTAAACACAGGAAAAGTGTGAGCGGAAACAACATGCCGTATATTACCGTGTATGAGCTAATCCGTGTATAAGCCGACAGTATGACTTTGCAACATTAAATCTAGCCAAAATCATAAGTCCGTATATTAGCCGCCCCCAAAGAAAAGCAGCAAAAAGAGACGAAATTGTTTCCCATGATTTTTATTTCATTACTAACTGCTCTCACTTGAGTGTACTCAAGCCAAAACAGCGCTACTATTGATCAGTTCTGGTGACCTAAAGTGTTATGATCGCAGTTAATGGAGCTTAGAACCGTCAGAACAATCATCATCATCATCATCATCATCATCATCATCATCATCATCATCATCATCATCATCATCATCATCATCATCATCATCATCATCATCATCATCATCATCATCATCATCATCGTCATCATCATCATCATCATCATCATCATCATCATCATCATCATCATCATCATCATCATCATCATCATCATCATCATCATCATCATCATCATCATCATCATCATCATCATCATCATCATCATCATCATCATCATCATCATCATCATCATCATCATCATCATCATCATCATCAACAGCAGTACATCAGCCATTTGAACTGATGCTTCGCTGCCATACAACCATGAGGACTTATGAAATATAAATAATAAGAAAAGGGAGAGAAAGGGGGACTTACCTGAAAACCTTAATGCCCTAAGCAAACATTCAGGGTCAAGGCGCCTACACCTTGTGTTAACAACGTACGTCACAAACAGCTGGCTATCGTGCAAAGATAAGGCGGCATCGGCGAGACAGCTTCATTGCGGCTTTCACTGCCTCGCGTCAAAATCAGCCATTACCCCGCAGATAACTCAGCACCAAACACACTTTAAACAGGCAATCCGATTAGAAGACGGCAGCAGACGCGACACTGGTGTCGGTTGCGAGCCATGTTCTGTAAAGTCTTGAGCCAAGCACAAGGCGAGTCACGTGGACTCCAGCCCGGAAGACGAGACGGACCAACGGCACCCAGTTTGGTTGTCAGTGACTTGATTTCCCGCTGCCAAGTCAACTTCTGTCCACCTCGAGCGTTGCGCCATCCTACACCTGGTAAACTGAACAAGGCCCTCCTAGGTAAGCGGTGACCAGGCATACGTAGCACGTGCCCGAGCCAACGCAACTTATTCAGTGCTATCTGTTGTTCTAGGGTGTTAGCATGATTATCACTACCTAGTACTCGCCTACGCACATCATCGTTGGGGATACGCTGGTGCCATCCGACACCAGCAATGCTTCGCAAACAACGATGATCAAAGACTTGAAGGCGCCTCAGATCTTCAGACCGAAGGGGCCAAGTTTCACTACCATAGAGCATAACGGCCCTCACTGTGGCCTTGTATACACGGCCTTTCAGACGGAGGGAAACTCCCTTCTGTCGCCAAAGATGACGCAGGTTCAAGAAGGCAGCTCTGGCCTTTGCAATGCGTGAGCTCACGTCAGTTTCTATGCGCCCATCATTGCTGATGCAGCTGCCAAGATAAGTGAAATGATCAACCACCTCGAGTTCCTCGTTAGCAAGCGTCAAG